GTTTCAACAGGCAGTTACCGCACTAGCAGTTACCCCACTGGTGGTGTTTGGAAGTACGGACCATGCCGACGTCACGCCGACGTCACAAGTCCCGTACTTAAACCAAGCGCGCCACCAACTGGGCGTGACGTCAGCACGGTCCGTACTTCCAACAAAATGTGGGACCGGAGATCATGCTAAACTTCCGGCACATCCCCTTTACATCAAGAAGACGTACCCGGTCGTGGAACGCTTCGTATCAACGTCCCTCGCAAAGTCCGCATTGCATACGCCTCAAGGACCTCACCGCTCCCCCCGAAGGTTATTCCGTCCTCCGCGGTCCCCACCAAATAGCGCATGACCCCAAGCGCCGCCGCCCAATGTGCCTCCGTTGGCGCGCTTGCGTAGCGTGCCAATGCCCCCAAGGCCTGAGCAATGTCGGGCCGCGTGCACACGCTCAAGTAGAGAGCTCCCAATGAGCTCGCTGTAGGGGTTTCTCGCCGTGTCAGCGGCTCACCCTCTCTCGTCAACTTCTCCCCCGCACTATTGGGGACCGAGCTCGCCCGTGCGCCCGCCAATCCGTGCCGCCCAACAAGCTCTCTGGTGAGCTTCTTTTGCGTGAGTTTCAAAGTTCGCGCCTCCCAGTCGCGCGCCAACTCAATCTCGAGCAAGTATGTCGCCTCCTCCAAGTCCCGCACGTCGAACTTGTCCGCCAAGCGCGCCTTCACCTTCGCAATTCGCACCGCTCCCCGGGCCGCGACAAGGATGTCGTCCACCCAAACGAGAGGTAAAGCCGCCCCCCGTTCACCTCTCCCACGAAGAGCGCAGCATCCGCACTGGACGCCACGAACTCGAAGTTCCCGAGCTCCTCCTTCAACCGCGTGTGCCATGCACGCGGCGCTTGGCGCAACCCGTCCAAGGTGCGCTTGAGGTGGCAAACCACGCTGGGCCCGCCTTGCTCGTACCCCTCCGGTTGCTTCATGTAGATCTCCTCCTCGAGCTCACCGTTGAGGAACGCCGTCTTGACGTCCAACTGGTGCAACTTCAAGTCGCGCTCCGCAACCACCGCTAGTAGCGCCCGCAAAGTTGTGTGCTTGCTTACCGGGGCGTATACTTCCTCGAAGTCAATTCATTGCTTTTGCAAGTACCCTTTCGCTACCATCCGAGACTTATACCGCTCCACGTTCCCAAGCTATCCCGCTTAATCTTGTAATCCCACTTCATGGGAACCGGCTTCACCCCTCCCGGGTTTTCGACGAGCTCCCACGTCCCGTCTCCTCGTCCATTGAGTTTCGCCAAAGCTCACTCTCTTCTCCCCTACGGTTCCTGATACGTTTGCGGGTTTAGATGCTCCCCCGATCCCTTGGGGTGCTCCCCCGTTTTCGCCGGATACCACTCCCCGGGCGCTCGCCTCGCTCTAGCGGGGTATCTTCGCTCCGCCGTCTTTTCTCCATCCATTTCAACGGTCTCCTCGCTCCCGGTGTCGGCCTCCCCCGTACGGGTAGCCCCTGCACCGGGCCGAGTGTCGGCCTCCCCCGTAGGGGTAGCCCCTACACCCATCCGAGTCGGGGGGTTCACACGACTAGGGCCGCGAGCAACCCCCTCCTCCTTCCCCGGATCGGAGCCAAGCTCAACGATCACGGGGCCCACGCTCACCCACGATGACGTCGGAAGAGGTCCACCCGGTGGAGAAAGAGACCGAGGAGCACGGCACAACGGAAGCCGTGGGAGCCGCAACAGAAGCCGTGGTAGCACGGGCGGAGATAGCTTTGAAGGAGACAGAGCAGTTCGTGTCGCCAGACACGGACGGCAAACGGTATTCGGATCGAGCGCAAGCGGCACCGGGGAACTTTTGGGAGACGCCGACCGAGAGGGGGTGGATCATGCCAAGGTCCAAAAAGAGAGCGGTTAGAAGAGGCTAGGTGTGAACGGGACATTTGTTCACGTGGGAGTGTTGACAAACGGATTCGATTGACGGCCACATTGTTGGGTTAGGCTCGATAGATTTGAGCGCAGAATCGTAATTTGGGTCGTGTAATTTCGACTAGGCTTGTGATTTCGTGTCGTGTGATATCGACCGTAACGTTGAAAATTCGCGTATCGTTGAGTATCGGCCGTCGAATTGCGTCTTAACTTGGCTTGAAAATTGTTAAACGTGAGTCGACTCGAAAAGTATAGTACCCCGACCACTAGTGGTATAGTGCTTGGGTCACAGTCTGAGTGGAATATAGCTCGTACTTATAGCTCGTACTGTGAGTGGTAGAGTGATTGGTTGATGGAAAGGAATCCATATACTTGAACCGACTAGTGGGTGGTGGAAACAGACCCGCCCTAGGCCAGAGTACACCTAGCTACGGGTTTGGAGTGACTTTGAACCAATGTCATGAGATGATATTTCAGTCTAAAGAGATGCTTGAAGAGAGAAAGGCGCTTCTTTGTGAAGGCGCCTATTGCGTAAGGGCGGTTAGAGTCTAGCTTGTGACAAGCATATTTTGTCTAGAAACCTAGGATTTTCGTAGCCTTAACCCGTAAAACGTCTAAAGAGGTGCCATGATGCCCCAACTACCCTAATTAAAACTTTAATCTAATCGGCGACCAGCCCCACACTCTCGGGGTATTGGCGTACCCCCCCACCTACCCAATCCACCCGAATTACCTACCGGCCCCACCCAATCTTACACCCGTGTTGCTCGATCGGGAAAAGCGTCCGTTACAATACATACATTGAACGCCAAGCGACACTGCAGCGAGTCGGCGGTAGTCTAGTGGCTAGTGCACAGTTACCAAAGTCGCGGGTGCGATCCTCGACTGCAACATGTCTACTTTTGCCAAAACATATAGTAGCACTGTGGTCGCCGCGAGTTTCTGCGCAAATCAAGGATGGTAGGGTTTATAGCTTCCGCCTAAAGCATTTACTTTGACCACAAAGCAATCCGGCGGGCGTTGCGGCCAACCCTCCGAAGTGGAGAAGCGCTTATATTCGTCTTGCGCTGCAACACAGATGGCCCTACTGGTCTTACAATGGAGCAAGCCCTAGAACCCCTAGCCTTCCTCCGCTCTGTTCCCGACGACTTGAACCACTGGAACGCAGAGCGGGGAAGTTGGCAGCCGGGGATGGCTCTGTACTTCCGTCAACGCTTGCTCAACGAAGGCACCCGTTTGTCATGCCGTAGGGCCGCAGAGCCGTAGTGCATTAGAGCTGCACGCATGCACTGACATGGGTCGTCGATATCAGGGTTCAAACCCAATCGGACGTCTGCGCGTGATTCAAAATTTATAATGGGGTTTTTAGACTGTGTAGTGCAGGCTTGTAGACTGCAGACTGCAAAGAGGACGCACACAGGCACGAGGCAATACAATGGTTCGGTAAAGCCAACAGTCCGATAATATTGAATCCGGTCTGGGAGAGATTCTTCTACCCTAAACAAGTGTGCAAGTCTGCTGTACGAACGCGGCCAACCTGAACTACCTGAGCTCTAAGCCCAGTCGACCTCTTGATCGCCTGTGCGGCTCTATGTTGAACTGCTCGGGTTTGGATATGCTAGCTAATTTGGACTCGCTGCCAGAAGTAGCAAAGCAATCTGAACGCAATGGGCGAAAATCCAGGCCACCCATCCTAAACTCTGCCGCTCGTGTAGCACAAGTGCCTAGAAACACTTTTTTGGACAACACCGGTACGTCTCGACTCCAAGCGGTATGAAGGTGTGTCGTCAGCCGAATGATTGCCGTACTTCACATAGGGAGCCGCGGTGCCGACGACGATCGTCGGGAGTTTGAGGCGGTTGCCATGATGGTGCCGAGCAAGGATTAGATGAAGGACGACGATGGAGCGGCGGATAAGTTGAAGGACAGGTTGAGCTCCGGGTGGCGGGCGTTGTGGCAGGAGGTCGTCGAGAAGCAGGAGCTATCGCCCATGGTGTTGATCAGGACGGATGTTCTTGAGGAGCTCGGAGTCATGGGGCATACGGGAGCTGACGGTCAGTATGTTGCGAAGACGGGGAACGACTTGTCGGTTGTCGTGCGGGACGCGCCGCATGGGGCCAAAGTAGAGGTGCGGACCAGCGGGGGCCGGGTAGTTGAGGACGGCGGCACATTGCTCTTTCTGGAGAAGGGGGCGAAGCTGGAGAAGGAGGTCGAGGCGCTCCTCTCTGACTACGCTTGCCTCGACCTCGACAAACAGAAGAACTCCCTCCAAAAAGTCTACCAGCGGGCAGCGGTGCTTGTCAGCACGCCCTATAATCGGGATCCGGAAACCAGCGGTGGCCAGAGGAGATAGTCGGGGGAGGCTTTGTGAGACCTGCACGGCGGTTGGGCGGTTAAACCGATAGGCGGTTTAAGGTTAGGCGGTTGAGAGCGATCGTCAGTCTCAGCCGTAGATAATGATATCAAGGGTTAAGATTGTATGTGACTGTGAGCTAGGCTAGTGAGCCTAGTAGTGTGTGAGTTTGGCTAGTGAGCCGAGTAGACTAGCAAGCGTACTGGAAGGGGAGAGACCCGTAGGGCTTCGTGGTGGAAAATATTCATGTGATATATCATTCTTAGAGAGGTCTGTAAAGAGAAGGAAGCCGCTTGTGAGGCACTTCGTGTGTTCCTTTTAAGATGCATGGCTGCCATCAATGAGCGATGAGCATGGGTGCCGGCCAACATGGTAAGATCCGATGACGAGTCCCTCACCTTGAGTTTCAACAAGCGCCGTAGATTGAATGTGAGAGCAAGGGGTTCGATAACCCCGCTTCTAATTGCATGATTGGACTGCCTTGCAGATAGGATTTGATGGTGCAATACCACCAGCCTTACAGCTATTTTGATCACATTTAAGAAGATAGTGAGTTTGTCCGGCTGATAGGCCGGAGAAGCATGTGGAGCGACTTGAATATAACGCCTAACTTAGGCGCCATAGGTGCGCTACGAGAAGGTGGTCGGCCAGTTCAGCATGTATCGTACAACTTAATAATGAGGCTGTTGAAACACAGCGTTGTTGGAAGTGATATTCAATCAATCAAGTTCACACAATGTATATGGAGTGTTCCGAGTCACGGCCTATCTTTAGGTCTACACTCTAGCCTAGTAGGCTCAGTGGACCGTCACCTAGTAAGTCCGAAAA